AAACATTAACAGCAACTTCTGTATATCAAGAACTCAAGTCAGAAATACAGAACACAAGAAACTACCTCACATGGAAGCCAGTCGAAGTACGAACACAGTTGACAGCTGCAGGTCACGTGCAACAACAGACACGAGGATCAATGCTGCTCTCCAAATGGGTCCCTTCTTTTGTATTGACCCCCTAAGGATTGCTAGTCCCCCTTTCTAACTCTTCCCCCAAAAATAATATATCGCCCCTTTTAGAATGTATTGATCCACAAATTAATGAATATTCATGAGCACAGAAACTGCTATGTCATGAATAAATTAGCATAATTTAAAAAAAATTGCATAAAGTGTAGGTACTCCTTCTGGAGTCCTGCCGAAAAAAGATACTGTGGAACTCATTGCAAATGTAAATACAAAATCAAAGAAAGCTTAGAAAGAACTCCCATGTGCTGAGAGTATTGGAGACACATTAAATATAATTCGAAATTACTTAGCTGAAAACTAATTATGCAAATCAGAAAATTAATATGAACAGATTTGAGTGTAAAACTAATGAGGTCTGCGCAATGTAACAGAAAATCTATGTTTCCAAGTTTAATTGAAACGTGATTAGAACCAAAAAATTATGAATTGTTATGCTTATTATGGAATTAATACGAACAGATTTTTACCCCAAACTAATTAGGATTGTACATTGTCCTAAAGCATCTTTGTACTAAGTTTGATTGAAATGGAATAATTAGTAGTATAGAAATCAGGGTGAAAGCTTAAAATTGGTTAATTATGCAAATTAGGTAATTAACAAGTACAGATTTTAACCCACAATTATCCAGGTCTGTCTATTGTCCTACAATATCCATGTACAAACATTCATTGATATGTGATGATTAGGACCTGAGATATCAGTGTGAAAGTTGGTTAATTATGCAAATTAATTAATGTGATTAATATGCACAATTATTTATCCTAAAACTAATCAGGTCTAAAACTAATCATAGTCCTAAAGGATCTATGTACCAAGTTTCATTGAAATGCGATGATTAGTACTTGAGATACCCGTGGAAAAGCTAAAAATTAACTAATTATGCAAATTAGGTGATTAATATGCACAAATATTTATCAAAACAATCAATCTCTGCATAGACCTTGAGTATCTAAGTACCAAGTTTCATTGAAATGTAATGCTCACTACTTATATCAAATGCTGAAAATTATTAATTATGCAAATTAGGTAATTAATATGTACTGATATTACCATAAAAACTAT